GGACTGTTCAGAATCCTCGAATTGTCCAGATTTACTCAAACAGATGAAGATGAACACTACATGAAAGGACATATAAATATTTAGCTTCGCTGAGCGATAGTTAGACAATTAGTATTATTGCTTTGTTGAGAAGAAATTTCCATGTGTTGGCTTCTGAAACACGATTATATGTAAATCCCAAATATATATAGTTCTGAGGTATATTTTCTATTGAACGATATCACATCGACTTTAATATTTAATGATTTTTTTAACGAGAAATATATTACTTTTGCAAAAATGTATTCGAACATTTTTTAATTATATATGGTACTATTTTTTTCTTAATTTATTGTAAGAAGAAGTAGAATTACGATTAATAAAATAATTATTGCAAGATATGTGTAATTTATATAATCAAACGTCTACACAAAATTCGGGAGACCCAGGTGCGAATTCTGGCTACGATGATATATTTCGCAATAAATTATTTATAGTGCTTTAAAAATGTTCACTAGCATCCATAATATTAAATTGCTTGCCAGTTTAATTTGCGATATTATGTATTTCGGTTTCAGTCTAAAATTATGTTTCAAGATCGAAAAATAATTAATCGGTGCGCAGTTTGTTTGAACTATAGAAATTGTAAAATTTACATTCACATATTCTTGACTGAATATAGCCTTCTTCACACATTTTTTTTTGTAATTTGTTGTAACTTTATAATAGGTACAACGTTTGATGAATCTAATGAGACAGTATAGTGCCTGTTTTTAAAAAAACGTTAGAATATCTATATAAATTATATTTTTGCTAATAATAAGGAGCAAAATTGCGATTAGTGAAATAATTACTATAGTTTATATTCTTGTAGAGCATTTAGGAGAATTAGAGTTCACTTAAATCTGGGAAAACAAGCTCGTGGGTGCTTCCTACGCTGTAATTCTTAACAATTATATGTAGTCCTCTAGGGACTCAGCGTAGCGTGAACAGAGGCGTAAGTTAAAGCGCAAAGTTTACCGAAGGAAATACGAGAAAACGTAAAACAGGTTTCAGGATTCAAAGTAATCGCTCGTTTTTTACATATAATTATTTGAAATGGCACGATTATTTAATGCTGCTGTTTAACACTGCTGTATTTAATTGTCGTCATCGTTTTCCTGCACAATTTTATCGTATCCACAAGTTGTTCTCCGTTTTCTGTTATTCTGTACACGTACATATGCGAATCGATGGAGTCAAATAACGTGAATGTCAGGCGTTTTCGATATCGTCTTGACGGCGTCGTAAAAACAAAAAGCATCAATGCGACTCTCGTATTTTTGCAAACTAATTTTTCCTATATACTCATTTCAATCCAATGCCTTGCGACATCAAATTTCTCAGCTGTAAATTAATTAAAATCTTATGTTTTCTATTCTTAGCAGAATTGATAAACTCATTGATGCGAAATTTGTTTACAAAACTTGTTTGCAAGGAAAAATAATTAGGAAACGAATGATTTTCTCTGATATACGTTAACGATTATTATTATCTTTCATAAAATAGAATGACACAATGTGTACTATATTATGAAGCATTGCACATGTATTTTAACAAACGCATCAGTCTTTTGTTTATACAACGTGTACAATAGGCCGTCGAAATTAACATCAGATAAAGACACGAGGAAACGAATACAAATGATTTCATATATTTTTTATACGGAAATGTTCATTAATCTCTCTAAAACAATTTCTTGCACTTGGAGCACGCTGTCGGAATAATTAAACAGATTTGCTTTGACTGACCCACTTCTCCCTTTTGAGATAAGTTTACTGCTAGCATATTAATGAATATATGCAACATTTGCAGTTTATTCGAATGTATGTTTTCTCTAAGCAAATTCTCGTCTGCTATTTGTTCGGTAAATTAGAAGTTCAATGCAAACATGAATATGTGAAATAATCGCACAATATTGATCTTTATAAAATCATGTGATATCTGAATTTTGAAGCAGTATAAAAGAAAAATGTTGTATAAACAACATGATATGTATTATAGGTATATAAAATACATATGCGTTTATTTAATGATTAATGACATCTACATTTGAACATTTAATTATATATATTATTGATTCTCGATTTTCCTATATATGTTATTACATAAGTATCAAAACAAGTTCTGTGTTTCGTTAATTATTTTATATGGCATGTTTATACATCCAATTGATATATGATAGGATTCATGTGTACGCGCTAGAATATTTTGTGTTAGTGCAACCAGCCGAAAACGAGTCCTGCGAGTTGTTCATTGACAGTGAGAGGACCACCAGTATCTCTCTAAAAAATACAATTCTCTGATAGTTAAAAATATACTTCACAAGGATTTGATTGGAAAAACTAACTCGCAAACAGTGTTATTTTTTACAATTAACTAAAAATACGTTTCTCTGTTAGTGCAAAGCTAGTTTGTGTTGTTTTCACTTTGTCATTTTTTAATTAAAAAAATTGATGATGAAGGGACTTTTGATTCGTTCAGCTGCGAATTGTGCCAATTCTATTAATTAAATTAAATTAAGAAACGTAAGAAGGAAACCTGAATATGGTGAAGTATAAGCGTTATATTAAGATATTGTTTTTAGAAATTATTAGAAACAATGATTTGAAGTTTTGCATGAGAAGAACAATGCGGGCTAACAGTTAACTTTACTTGGGCAGACGGCGTAATTTTTTCATGTACGACCGGTAACAAACGATGGCAGTCTTATATAAATAGTTTACCGGACATGAATTCTTTCTTACGGTTGAATTTGCGTAGCGTGTTATAAATGCAGTGAAAAAATTTCATGTATAGTAACTAACATAACTAAAAGGTTGCAACACTTTTTTAAAATAAGTTTCGGAATACAATCTACTCATTGAGCGGCTGGTCTTTATTTTTGAATCCATAATTAAGAACCAATCGCTCGGTGAGTAGGCTGCATTCCAAAACCGATTGAAAAAAAAGTGTTGCAACTTTTTAACCAAAAGACTTACTAACATTATAGGTTATGGGTATCTCGATACAGCCGACGATTACTACTTAGCATACTTTGACAGCCAACTTTTCCTTTAGCTTATCGTAGTTTTTGATGTAATAGGAATAGAGGGCTCCAAGCTATCATTCAAGTCATAATACGTATAATCATTGCAGAGTTAGAGAAATTCCAAGGTCGGTCGAATTTCACAGCGTAGTACTTTTTTTATACTATATGATGTTCGGTTGCCTTGCAATTTTATTTCTTCAATTTAACAAGATATTGTCAGATATAGAATTATGCCTTATTGCAACGAGATGCGTGGCTCTTTGTCGAATCAAATGACTGTTGAAAAATAGCTGGTGTTAAATACAATATTACGATGCCGTGTGCATACTCCACTGAGGATTTTTACGAGAACCATACTATTACTTCAACAATACATCAGAGCATCTAAATTATGTTTATGCTAATGAATATAATAAGAAGCAAAATTACGGTTAGTAAGATACATAATTATTACGAGGCATATGTCATTTATATCTCTGCAGTACACTTGAGAGAATTAGAGTTCATTCAAATTCGAGAAAACAAGCTCGCAGATGCTTCTTGCACTGTAATTCTTAACAATTATGTGTAGTACTTGAGAGAGCAGCGTAGCGTGAGTGGAAATGTACGTTGCAGCGCAAAGTTTACTGAAGGAAATACGACAAATCGTAATACCGTGTTCAGAGCTTACAGTAATTGCCCGTTTTTTTACGATAATTATTTAAAACGGCAAAATTATTATTTACTGTATATTTAATTGTCTTCGTTTTTCATTGAATAATTTTATCGTATGCGTGAGTTATTAATTTTTCGTTTTCCGCTTTTGTGTGCATATAAGTATGCGAACCAGACAAATGAAATAACGTCGATCGATCAAATGCTAGACGTTTTCAATATCGTGTTGGCCACGTAAAAGCAAAAAAAAAAACGGTGTAACTAGTGTCTTTGCAAACTACTTTCCTACTTAGTTTCATATCCGATGCCTCGTGACATCAAATTTCTCAACGACACAGCAATACATCAATCGAAACATTTCCCTTTTTGACAGAATTGATGAAATTATTTACACGCAATTCGCTTGCTCGCAAGTAAAAATAATTCGAAAACAAATGTCTTTTTTTGCTACAACGATTTTTGTCAACGATTATTGTTGTTTTTCGAAAAATGGAAGAATATTATGCAAATTATATGTTTCAAGAAGCACATAAGAGTCTTTTATTTATATAATCTACTCGCCTATACAAGCGTGTAAGAGAAGTACAGAAATTAATTAAAAAATCAATATATTATGGGTTCAAAGATTTTAAAACGAAATAATTGAAAAAGGACTACGGGCCAAGCAGAATTGTCGTGCTATAAATTTAACATTACAATATATTCTTCATTTACATCACGATTACAAACGTTTCGACTCTCTCTCTCTCATATCGAGTTACCTTCAATGTACATATTTCATATTTATCAATACATAGTAAATCTCAGATTTTAGCGGCTACTATGAAATATAAATATAAATTAATTTTGGATAAAAGTAAGACAAAACAGATACAGAGATCCTTCTTTTTTATCCATTTTTAAGAGACCAATGTTCATAATCTCTCTGAAACCATTTTGCGCACTTTGCCCACAGTGCCAGAATAATTAAGTAGATTTTTTTTTATTGACCCATTTGTCCCTTTTAAGTTACGTTTACTAATTTATCGATCATAAAAATAATTAAACGGACTATATAGTATATATATACACAATATCTATTATTTATTTGAACGTATGTTTTCTTTAAGCAAGTTCTCGTTTAATGTCGGTTTGATATTGTTAAAGTAAAAGTTATAAATATCAGTACGTAAAATAATTAAACACGATATTGATCTTTAGAAGATATGTTATATATCTGACGTCTGGAATAACATTTAACAGGAAAACTTTAAGCATGTCTATAAGTTATGTGATTTATTAATTATATGATGTTTATTTAACAATTTGCATATGACATCCACATTTGAGCGTTTAATTATACACATCATTTTTCCATTTTCTTGTACACATCATTAAATATCAACAGAGATTACTATATTTCGTTTAAATTTTTTTCTTAATCTCATTCATCCAATCGATGTACGATGAAACGCGTGCATACCCAGTGGGATGTTCTGTGACAGTACAAATGTTAGGATAAAGCCCAAACAAGACGAGTCCTACTAGTAATTCATTGACAGTAAGAGGGCCACCGGAATCACCCTAAAAAATACATTTCTTCGATAGTTAAAAATATATTTCATAACAATTTGATTGGAAAAACCGACAATGATATTTTTTATAATTAATTAAAAATATACTTCTTCCTTAGAACAAAGTTAGCTCATATTATTTATGTTTCTTTATTATAATTAATTTGATGTTTAATGATGATATTAAATTCTCAATCGCTGAGCTACACGATCTTATTGTCAATTAAATTAAATTATAAAACATAATGAGGATCCCCAAATATGTTAATAAACAAAAAATAATCAATATATATATAGTATATTAACAATCAACAAATCAGTAATGCAGTAAATTACTGTAGCAATTAAATGTTTTATGCATGTACGAATTATTAAGTATTATAGTAATTAAGTAATTAATTAATTGTTCATTAAAAATTTATAAGTGAAATATTGAAATCACGATGTGTCCCTATAATGATTTCCGACAATTTCACGATATAATTGAACTTATCTCCTTATGGAGACTGTGTATCACAATACGCGATTAGAAGTGCAAGCGTTATATGAAGACATTATATTTAGTAATTATAAGCAATAATGGTGAATTGGACCTTCATGTTGGAAGAATAATGCAGGTTAATTAATTTACCTGAACAGGCATCGTATAATTATACATATGATCGACAATTAATGACGGTATATTGCAATGCCTTATGTAAACAGCTTACCACGCATGCACCTTTTTGTATGGTTGGATCATTAGCGCAGATATGCGAATCCTGAATAGTTATATTTGCTGCTGTATCATACAATTCTCTACAATAAGCCTGATTAGTTATGATATTGTCTACAACGTATAAATGTCCATCAGACTCCTCTCCTTCAGACTGCAAATATATAAAGTACAAATGTACACGTGTAATTTAAGAGAGCAATTTGAGATGGGATTCTCGAATATCTAGCGGATAAGAATTTAAATGATTGAATTAATAAGACACTTACAGATATTATTCCGAATCCCGATACTTCTGCTATCGAGCCTTCCTTGACAGTTTGATTTTGTTTCGGTAAATCGACAGGACATATCCGAGAAGAAAATTTTAATGGCTTTTGAAGCTGAAAATAAATTTTCTGTATACTCTTTTGCGTAGTCTTAATTTATAATTTAATTGCTTAATTCACAATTTAATTGAAATTATATGGAATGAATGTTATCATACTACATGTTATCGTTACCCTAAGTAAAGCGATATCATTGGCGTAAGGTGGGGAATCGAATCCTTCGTGTACGAAAATAGACTGAACCAGATGCCTTGAATGCCGTTTTCGTAGATCTGTTGTTCCCGCAACGACCGAAAACTCTGAAGGGTTTGCACTGTAAAGAATATTACAAAGAGCATTTTTTTTGTGTCTATACAAGTGTTCAGCGTAACGGTCCGCACGATTTTTTAGACACTTTCAGCCACTTCAAGTTGAAAGATGAATATTCATTTGTTTTATACAGGCTATAAGATGCGATGAAAAAACATTTTATGAAAAAAAAAAATGTTTTTCATAAATATCAGACGACTTAATTTTTTAAATAACATCATATAATTTTTTTCCATAATATTATAGGAGTCTTCAAGACGAATTTAACTCGACCATCGACGAAGTCATTTTTATTGATGTTTTGATGATTTTATTGATATCAGACATGCAGCATTTGTAACAGCAGCACTTACATCTCTGATTAGAAACGTATATAAATGGATATTTATGATATATATATATTATGTATTAATGTAATAAGATATGCAATAAAATCAATAAAACATTAATAAAAGACATTTCGATAGTGATTTGAATTCGTCTTGAAAACCTCTATAATATTAGGAAAGAAATTGTATGGTGCTGTTTAACAAATTCAAGATGGCTTTAATTTTTTTATGAAAAATATTTTTTTAATTTTTTGTCGCATTTTGTAGCCTGCATAAAATAGATAATTATTCATCTTTCAACTTTTTTTCTTTACTGTCAAAAGTGCCTAAAAAATCGTGCGGACCATTAAGTTAAACATCCTGTATATAGTTTATTTTTCCGCAGTGTTTCTTGAGATTTTCCTACTTACCCAAATACACAGTGAGCAGCGGTAAGCACGTGATCCTTGTCAATTATAACTCCACCGCAAAAATGCATTTTATTTCCATTTTGCAGAGAAACCTGAATTATAAAATGCACACACACA